ACAAGGAGATACCTTCCTCTCTGATGCACTAAGCTCCAAAAGGTTAGAGGCTGCAAAATTTTCCATCTGCAAGCTGTGAGAATTTCTCTTCTCTAATACCAAAATGCTGCAACTTACCAAAAATAGCTTGCTTTGCTATTTTTATTTAAATTATATCCACATGTTCATTCATGTTGTCATTTCGCCTACCTTGCCTTAACTATGATGCAAGCTCTCAAAGGGTAAGACCATCTTCTGTTAAAATTATTTTTATAAATGTCTTACGATTATATGCTTCGGATATTTAGTAATGCTAATAACCAGGAAACTCCAGCAACATAACTTCACGAGTTTCATTTGATTTAGTGAATAACATTTAAGTAGCCTCATTATGCAATATATGGTGCTATAAAGTCAGACGGAAGAGATAGTGTAGCATTTGGTAAGGCTCGTATATAAAGGTTAATGTCCATCAGCCAGTTTTGCCTTGATTTTTTAGAAATGACAGTGTCTGTATTCATTAAAGGCTGTTTGCAGCACCTTTAAAATAGTGTTTGCTACACCTAAATCCTTTAGAAGTGTTTTATATTTTTAATATTGTTTGCATGACCAAATGATGCATATTATGAAGTGGTAAAAGCCTCCAATGAGGAAAGCAGTTGAACAAACTGAACATTAAGTGGAGAAGAGAAGTAAATGTCCATATAAACACAGACTCTTAATTGCCTGCTCATTGAAGACATTTGTCACCTTCAGGACATTAAGAGTTAAATGTTGAATCAACCCTTTGGGGACCACACTTTTCTTTCTGACATGGAAAAAAGTAACCTTCAGTGAAAAATAAAGTCCTCAGTTGGTCATTCATCATCTCAAAGGGCATATTTTATTATAAATGTCAATTCCATAAAATTGTGTGTCCTGTAATACATAATTATGTTCAAAATTGCATTTGAAATGTATTATTAACAGTTAACAGTGAACATTCTTAAAATAGTTATTACTCTTGGCCTTAACACAAAAAGCAATAATGGAGATATTTTAGGGAGTTAAAAGCTGTAAGACTTTGGCCTCTGAATAAAGCCACTGCAGGTGTGTTTCTTAATGGGATGTTAATTTCACAGCAGGTAAGCACAAAGGATAGAGACCATGTGTGTTTTTAAACTGTGTTTGGTGTGGAGAAGAAGTTGATGGCTGAAAATATGAAGGCAATGTGAAATGAGGCCGAATTGAACTTGCCCTCATGAGGATAATCCGCCTTGCTTAAGATCAAGTCAATCCTCTTGTATCCCTTTTCTCCCCGCCACCACCACATAATAAAGAATTCCACAGAAATAAATATTAAAGTAGCATGTCAGAAATCACTAGAAAATATGGCAATAAATAATAAAGATCTGATGGTCCAAATTCAACATCCTCTCACACAACCCATCTCCTTCTAGGAGTCTTCTTTGTGTGTGTGTGTGTGTGTGTGTGTGTGTGTGTGTGTGTTTAATATGTGTTTATTGATTTGAGAGAGAGAGAGAGAGAGAGAGAGAGAGAGAGAATAGAAACATCAGTGATGAGAGAGAATCATTAATCGGCTGCCACCTGCACGCCCCCTATTGGGGATTGAGCCTGCAACCCGGGCATGTGCCCTTGATCGGAATTGAACCTGGCACCCTTCAGTCTGCAGGCCGACACTATCCACTGAGCAAAACTGACTAGGTCTAGGATTCTTGTTTTTGCTACCAACATTAAGTCACCCAAACTCATAATCGTGGGGTTGATTTTGACCTTGCCTTAGCCCCCATACCTAGTGTCCCAATGTCGAAAGAACTTTGCCTCTCCATGTGTGGGCTGTGGACCACTAAACATGGGCATTAATGGGAACTTGTTTGAAATATCAAATCTCAGACCAAGAGAATCATAATTTGCATTTTATCAAGACCCCCTTCTTATGCCCATTCAATTTTGAGGAGCTCTGCTATAGTATTTTCCTTTACATTGTCTTCGTTCCACTTTTTTTCCCCTTTCCTTTCTGGGGAAATAACTTTTTATTGTTACAACTCTATATTTAGATATATTTTGTATACAAAACATGTAATTCGATTTTACGTTTTGATTAGGAATGATGGTTCTTTCATTTTAACACAAGTGTTTAGTTCATTGCTCTTTGATTTAATTATAGATATAGATATATGAAAGTTATCGTCCCTCTTTTGTGTTTGCTAATTAACCATTCTAGTCTTCCCTTTCTTCTTTTGTTTAAACTATTTTTATCTTGGATTTATTTTCTCTATGCTACTTCAGAAGATACTTTTTTGCTTTTTAATATTTACACTTAAAATTACAGTAAGATTTTTAAATATATAATAACCTGAAGTTGACTGATATTTGTACCATTATTTGGGATAATCCAGTTTTACACTTCCCAGGTAATATGTGTTTGTTTTTAACTTTATTGAGGAATAACTGAGAAGTATAATTATATTATATTTAAAGTGTACAACATGATAATTTGAAAAACATATGCATTGTAAAATGATTACCAAGATCAAGATAATTAACACATCCATCACCTCATATAGTTAACATAGTCAACTCTTTTTGTGTTTATGGTGAGAAAGCTTAAGATTTACTTTCAAGTATATAATACCATATTTTTAACTATAGTCTGAACTTTAGAGTCTCAGAACTTCTTCTTATAACTTAAAATGTACACCCTTTTACCTATATCACCCCATTTGCCCCTCCTTCCAGTGCTGACAACCACTGTTCTATTCTCTATTTCTATAAAATCAGCTTTTTCTTTTTTAGATTCCACATATAAGTGACACTATACAATGCTGGTCTTTTTCTGGCTTATTTCACTTAGCATAATGCTCTCCAACCTCATCCATTTTTGTTGCAAATAGCAGGATTGCCTTTTTCTTTTCATGAGTGAATAATATTCCATTATCTTATTTTGTATATGTGTGTGTGTGTATCACATTTTTTATCTATTCATCCATCAAAGGTCATTTAGGTTGTTTCTATATCTTGGCTATTGCGAATAATGTAGCAGTGAATGTGGGTGTACAGATATCTCTTCGGGATCCTTATTTCAGTTTCTTTGGATATATACCCAGGAGTGCGATTAATGGGTCATACAGTAGTTCAATTTTTAATTTTTTGATGAACCACTATTCTGTTTTCCAAAATGGCTTTACCATTATGCCTTCCCATCAACAGAATATAAGGCTTCCCTTTTCTCTACAGCCTCGCAACATTTGTTATCTCTTGCCTTTTTTATAATATCCAACCTAAAAGGTGTGAATTGATATCTCATTGTAGTTTTGATTTGTATTTTTACAATGATTAGTGATGTTGAGCACCTTTTCATATACCTACTGATCATTTGTGTGTTCTTTGGAAAAATGTCTATTCAGGTCCTTTGCCCATTTTTTTAATTTGAATTATTTGCTTCTTTATAATTGAGTTGTATGAGTTTTTATATATTTTGGATATTAACCCCTTTTCAGATACATAGCTTGATAGGTTGCCTTTTCAATTCATTGATTTTTTTTCTCTTTGTTGTGCATAATCCTTTTTAAATTTATTTTTTCTTTATTTTTACATAATTATTGACCCCTTTATTCCTCCCTATACAGTCTTCCACCTTCACCACCCCTCCCCCCACAATCACTATACTGTCCTCTGTCCATGAGTTCTTTCTCTTTTTTTGCTCAATCCCTCCCCCCTTTCCCACATCACTCTTACCTTATCAGATCTGTCTGCTTGCTCTCTATGAGTCTGTGTCTATTTTGCTTCTTAGTTCAGTTTGTTCATTAAATTCCACATATGAGTGAAATCATATGGCACTTGTCTTTTTCTGACTGGCTTATTTTACTTAGCGTCATGTTAATTTGGCATAGTACTACTTGTTTATTTTACAATTGGCTAGGATGTACTTTTTTCAAATTTAGATCTTAATGTAATTTTACCAAGTTATTGCCCCATAATGCCTGTATCATTCTTGTGTCTTCCTGCTTAATCATCCTATCTTCTGCCTTAAGGTTAGCCTTTCTAATGCATCCAGACTTCTCGACTCTTCTTAAAAACCTTCAGTGGCTTTCCATTCTTTATTCAATAAACCCTTTAGGGCTGACACTCAAGACCTTATAAAATGTGATTCCGTCCTTTCCCTCCATCCCTATCTCCAACTGCTCATCTATATATATAACTTAGCTTTACAATTTTCTCTCCTCTTTGCTTTGGTTCAAGCTGCTCCTTCCATGTGGGACAAGCTTCCCAACAGCTCTGTTGAAATCCTCTCCCTCTTTTAAGGCCCATATTAAATACCACTTCCCATAAATACCCTTTTCTGGTTCGTTCATTTATTGAGAAAACATGTACTGATCATATACTATTTGCCCACCTTCTTCTAGTTACTGAGGATAAAGCAATGAACAAAACAGCCACAGCCTCATGGAGCTTATATTGTACTGGGAGAAAATAGGCAATAACAGTATATAAGTAAAACAGGTTATATGTTAGGTGGTGATAAGTACTAGGGAGAAACATAAAGGAAGATAAAGGGCATAGAGACAGCTAGGAATGAAGAGTATCCTCCAACTGAATACCTTTCCCCCCTTTGAATAACCAGAGTACTTATTTTCTTTTACAACGTGGTTATTTGTGTACTTGTCCTATTTTATCTCTTATATTCAAAGCTCCTTGAGAGCAAGAACTGCATCTTACTCATTTTTGTATCTCTTGCAGCTTCTGGGGCAGCATTCAGTAAATAATGGTTAAAATGAATCAAATGATGGAAATAAATGCAATAGCAGTTTAATATAAGGGAGAGACTGATATAGTGGTTGGTTAGGGAGGGCTGCTTGGAAGATATTTAATTTGGGTAAAGCCTTGACATATGGGTGGTGTGGGGAGTAAGAAAGATCTGAGTAAGTCATTTTGATGTATCTGTTCTTGAAAAACTAAAAACCATTGCTTTATAAATTAAGATTAATGTTGTGTGTAATTTTCTTTACTTTTAAAACCAGTATTTCAGAAGGGCCGAGCAATAGACACTGGAGAAGTTGACATTGGTGCACAGGTCATGCAGACCATTCCTCCTGGCTTATTCTGGCGTTTCCAGATTACTATCCACCATCCAATATATCTGAAATTCAATATTTCTTTAGCCAAGGACTCTCTGCTGGGAATTTATGGCAGAAGAAACATTCCACCTACACATACCCAGGTATTTGATATTACAGGTATTTCTTGACCCTTTTAAAGGGTGCTGGGATGACTAGTTTGGGGATTGTGACCTGCAACATGTGTGGGAGTCAAAGGTGAAGACAGACAATCTTTGCAATGAGCAACATCCAGAATAATCACACTAAAGCGAATGAAAAAAAAATGCCATTAAGAAATAAGGAATCATATTCAGCAGAGCAGATTCAGAAAAGGGAGTTTAATAAAGTATCCTTGAAACTTGAATCCTGTTTCCTGGAACAGGATGACCATGAGCCTTCCCAACCCCCTCATCTTACTTCTATGGTGCCCACACCCCCCTTTGCTGGTTCCGTGCACCTATGATCCCTTGTCCAGATGAAGGAATGCATATCAATAATGGAAATGAGTCAAAAGGCAGGTTTTGTCTTACAAGTAGAAAAGTTTCCTTGTTATTGTTAATAATAACTCAAATATGTAAAACCTCTATGGTTTACAATGCCCTTCTATAAACTGTAGCTACCTAATTTCTCTCATTCTGTTTTCCTTATCTCTTTCTCACATGAACCCATTTGGGACCCTGTTCCATCTAAGAAGTAGCATAAGGAATCATAGCTATCTGGGGCTTGCTTTGTTTTCAGAAGATATAACTGTAGTTCAAACCTTCCCTTCTGGGTCAGACTAGGCAGGGGATTAGAATGCCATTCAAATCTGACTATTGAAAATGTTCAAGGACACATGTGCCATGTGCTTATCCACTGATTAGGAATAAAAAGGAGAGTGTCCTTTGAATATTTAAATATGCTACTACAAAAATAGTAAATTATGTTTAATGTTTTCAAAGTTTGACTGTTTACTCATTTGTTTTTAAAAAATGTATAAAACTCTTTAATTTGTAAGGAAGGTCCTGGTAACATTTCTGAGGGTAATGTGTGGTTTCAACTGTCTTCTATCAGTATGGTAAAATATCAAGATTCTCTTGCATAATACTAAACAAAATATATTTCTATTTCTTGGTTTATTTATTTTTAAATGACTATTTTGAATACTCCAAAACTGAGAGGTTTATAACATTTATAAGTATAGTGGGGCTTTTCCCCTCAGAATTAATAATATTCTTTTGGGTTTAAATTTACTTAAAAATTAATAACTTCATCTTCCTCTTTGCCTGCCTCCAAAGCAAAGAAGTATGAAATAGGGCAATGAAGTTAGAGATGTCTGTCAGTCAAGAAGTAAAAGCAGAGGCTCATATTTGTGTTCATATTTGTTCCAGTTTGATTTCGTAAAGCTAATGGATGGAAAGCAACTGGTGAAGCAAGACTCCAAGGGCTCTGACGATAGCCAGCATTCCCCTCGGAACCTGATCTTAACCTCACTGCAGGAGACAGGCTTCATAGAGTACATGGACCAAGGGCCTTGGTATCTGGCATTTTACAATGATGGCAAAAAGATGGAACAAGTATTTGTGTTAACTACAGCAATTGGTAAGCTGCCTTGGCTATTATTTTGAATTGACAGTATAACTAGAAAGACACAATCAGTGATTAAAGTAATACAGATGTTATTTAAGCTTATTGCTCATTCTGCCTTAAACTCATTATTCAGGATAGGTCACTATGAGAAAGGCTTATATTGTTGTTGTCATTAATGTTGTTTCAATGCTGATTAAGAGTTTTTAAAAGGTCCATTATTTGCTGCTATTTTAAGATATTTGCCATACACTGTTTTGTATGTTTTCAATAGAAATAATTACCTGGATGACATTGTTACTGAGGCTACATAAGACAACTTCGGTGAAGAAGGGTCCAAGCAGGGGAACCTCTGTTAGTTCAAGACCTATTAAAAACAAAAAAACAAATAAGCACCTTTTAAAATGGAAAAACTTGCATCAGTCCAGTTCTTTACAATGACTGATTCTAGAACCAATCTTTAAGGTTTCAAAATACAAACTGACAGTACTTAAAGAAGAGTCTGAAAGAATAATAACTTGGGTCATTTAAAGCCATTTCTTTTAGAATTTTTTCATTTCAAAATCATCACAATGTCTCTTTTGGTGTTCTCAGGGTCTTTTAAAACATGTTCTTTTTAATACAATGTCTTCACCCACTCTTATTCACAGTTCACCCTAGTTAGTCAGAAACATCTCACTCTTGTCATTTTTTTGGTGAATACATTCCCCTTGACCCTTTGTGTGAATAAAGCTGAGCTTTTTAGCAATTTTAGAGCCCTGAGGATAAACAACTCATTGACACAGTATTTTATTGTGTGAATTTTCCTAAAATACTCGTCTGTTAAAAGAAGAGAAAATGTTTTGCAGCTGTCAGTTTTCTATACAGCTCTCACCATTTATCCTTTAGTTAATCTGTTCAACCATATGTTTAGGAAGATGTATTGACTGTTAATAGATATACCATCTGCTCTTTATAACAATTATGTTCTATTTTTACTCTATGCTGAAGACCTTGAGTCAGTAGAAAATGGTATTCCATCCATAAGTTTATCAAAAACTTTCTTCTAAAGTAATCAGAAAGCTAGTAAAAATGCACTAATTATTTTTCCCCTATTGAAATACTTTACTGATTTTATATCTTCAAAAGAAAAGGTGTTTGTTAAATTGGAAAAAATATTTTCAGTCATGACACTGTTTTGCCACTCATGGACCCGTTGGGGCAGATTCAACAGACACAGAACTTATATGATATTTTTCTATCCAGGCCCAATTTTGATAAGGCAATTGACAATGAGTTATGAGATCTAAAATACTTGTGAAGATTTTTCTCTCTTCCAGATATCCTTGCCCCTAAGCTTAAATTAAAATACTAACCAAACTATTTACCTTTTAAAAAGTCAATAGATCCAGAGACATGCTTGGAGGTTTTTTTTTTTCTATCCCTTACTTCCTCCCAAAAAGAACCTGATCTTTGAAATATAAGTGTTATTATCCAGATATTAAGCTGTCACTTTTCTATGCAACAACATACTAGTTTTTCCCTTTTGCAAGTTAGTTTGTTTACTTTTCTGTTGTCTTTTGATATTAGAAATAAGATAAACATTTCTCCTATAATTCTACTTAAAGAGAATCCAAGTAAATTTCCAAAAAAATCAAAAGTATGTAAATTATTTACTCTAAATTCTCCCCACTAATTTTTAATGTTTTTATAACTTATGTTAATTTTAGTGAAAAGAGACTAAAATATTTGCTTGAACAAAATAAGATTTTGTGTGAATTTATTCTAAATATTGCTTATTCTGTATTCATAATACTAGAATCAGTTGATTGAGCTTAACTCTATTTGGTCTGCTACTAATAAGGCTCCAGACAGTATTAATAACCAACATTTATTAAATGACTAACATAGATCTACATTAATATATACTATTTTCCAGTAGTATGGGCAGAGTTGTCAGTATCCCATAACCTCAGTCAGTCTGCTCTGTAACATGATCGTATAGGGAGTGCTACTCTGCCCCAAGCACTGCACTAGATGCTTTACATTCAGTTATCTTGTTTGATTCTCATCACAACCCTGACAGCACAGGTATAATGATAGTAATATTACAAATAAGAAAACAGACGCGTGGAATGAGTAAATAATTTGGTAAAGTCTCACAGCCAGCAAGTGGCAAAATTGAGATTTGAGACACCCAATATGCCTGTTTCCAAAGCCCATGCCCTTTAGAACATACATTCCATAGATTATGAATTATCTTTAGTTGCTCTTACAAGAAAACTTGCCAAAAGCAACACATCATCAGTGCAGACACAGATATGAAGAGGCTTAGACTCTAGTATAAGAACAGAACTGTAAGCATAGAACTTTAAAATGATTCTCTGCTCTAATGAACTGCTGTCTAGGAAGTGATTCTGCAGTAAGTTTTAAAACAAAGAAGGCAAAGTTTCCTGGAGGCCAACATAAATAGGAAAATATATTATTTTTCATTACTGGCTATTTAGGCGATCCTGTTGTAGCCATCCTCTTCCTGGAGTCCCTAGACTGTCTCAATGTCTCTTTGACACCCTGTGGAGATAGCAGCTTCCAATACCTCCTATAATGCGTTTTCTTCTCATTTGTGTTGCTGGTGTTAAGCTCTGTGCAGCAGTGGGCCCAGGGATAGCTTTTAGATAATTCAATAAGATGTAGGAATTTTTATTTATTTTGATAGCAAACTTTATTAAATGTCTTTTCTACAATAGCTACATTCCCATAAGACTACTTCCATAAAGTTGTCAATAGGAACTGGTGTGAAATGAAATTCAACTTTTTTTTACCTTTCAAATCTTCCTCCATGGCCTCTTATTAACCATCCAGACAGGGGAAATCTAAATATAGATTTAAAAACTGCCACTACTGCTTAGTATAAGAAAGTTAGATAAGTAGAAAATAGAGAAATAATTGTTCCATCTTAGAATGTAAAAAAGGACTCTTTGTGCTTTTTATAATGACCTTTTAAATAAATTAATAACTTTCTGAAAATAAAGGTTTAATGAGTTAAAAATGGTTAGCTCTTTGTCAAATGTTACATTCTCACCAGTCAAGTTGTAGTTCAGAAATGCCAAGTGTCAATTTCTTATCCAGTTCAGTTGTCTAAAACAGTGATAAAAGAACAGAGCATCATAAACCTACAAAAGGCTAGCTCATGTATTCACATGGGGTGGAGAAGAATGCCATCATCCAATTGATAATAGGCTGGCTACCCACACAGCCACTGGATTCATTCTCAGCTTTCTAAGAATCCCCTAATTAGACTAGATACCATTTCCTTCCTCTAGCATTTATTCTACCCAGGGCAGAGCTCCAAATCTAGATCACAAATTTTCTAACTATGGAAGTTTATTTGAAGCATTTGTATTCATTCTTTGAGGCTTCAATGTGGTGGAAACCTGCAGGATCACCTGCTGTATTTGTTAATATGTAGATTACTGGGCCACATTCCTCAGAGACAGATTTAGTGGATCTGGAGTGAAGCCCAGGCATCTGCATTGTAAGCACCTCAAGTAATTCTACTGATACAGGTAGTCAAAAATCCTCCATTGAAGAAATGCTATTTCTCGACCCTCAATATAATTATCATAGTTCAGAGGAAGATGTTAAGACTACTTCCTAGGATATCTTGTTTTAATTGGAAATAGCTTATCCAAGTGGAACTAGATGAAGTAGATAATTTGGATTGAAAAGAAAAAACTGGTGCATATGAGAAGCATGAGTTTAATAGACCAGAACATAAAACTAGGAATCCAAGATTGCTAAGTATAGAAAACTTACAGAAAATAGTAATGAAAAGATGATTTTTTAAAAAAAACTACAAGAGTAAAATATGCATATCATCATAGTTCATGGACTTGGAATTTAACACTATTATGTATGCAAATACAGTTTTAAATTAGAAACACTTTAATTTTTAATTAATTTTTATTGAGGTAACATTGATTAATAACATTATGTAAATTTCAGATGTACAACATTATAATTTTTAAAATCATTGTCAGAAACTGGCTTCTGTATAACTTTATACTTTTTCAATCAGAATACCTGAAGACTTGCCCAAGTTCTGTTACAGTGCATATCTTTATGGCACCAGAACTACCTATGGGCACCTTTAAAACCTTCTCAATTCCCCTAAAGCCTATTCTTCTCTAAGAATGGATTGAAGGGAAATTAGTGGCAGAGAAATGATAAGCATTTACAGTCAAGAAAGCATTTCTCAACAAAATACTTAGGTTCCAATGCTTTTAGTGGTGGTGAATTTAATATGAACACTTACTTTAAAAGCATTCCATTGTCACTTATTAATGAAAATGAAATACTGATTATCATATTTAAGCTGTCGAGATAGTAGATTAAACATTTTAAAGTGCTAGAGAAGACAATGTCATTTACTACAACCTAAATCTGAAAAATAAACAGTAGACTTAGCCTTCTGGTTACATTTTGAAGCCCACTTTGCTTTTGAGAAATGTCCTATAATCCTAGTACATTTTTAACTTTATCACGAATGTCTCATGAGAATATAATTCTTCTAGACCCTTTATGCACTTTAGAGATGAGATTGGTTTTTAGTTCTACTCTTGAATAGCCAATTCAGCAACTCCAGGGTGCTTTTAATAATTTGGAACTACATGTGACATCTTACAGAAATCTTTGACATCTGATTTTAAATAGTAAGTGCTCCGTAGACAGCAAAGGGCAAGAATGTTATAGGCCCAGAGTTTTTACAATTTAAAAAAATTAAGGACTCTGTAGTCTGTAGATTTGTTCATTTTTGTCTTTTTCTCTTTATTAATAGAAATAATGGATGACTGTTCGACTAATTGCAATGGAAATGGAGAGTGTATCTCTGGCCATTGCCATTGTTTCCCAGGATTCCTTGGGCCTGACTGTGCTAGAGGTAATGTTGCTCTGTTTTTCTGATTGACTTAGGGAAATGGATGTCATTTGAGAACTCAGGAGAAGGAGGAGTGGCAGTAGTGGTCATGGTAGCAGCAGTAATAGCAGCAACACTGCCCACTGCTGCTACCAAAAGTTGAGCACTTATTCCACCAGGAACTATTCTAAAAACTTTGTGTTATGTCTTTTAATTCCTACTTCCTATCATAGCCCTATGAGGTATATCTGTTATTATCCCAGTTTTATGGGCAAAGAAACAACCTCAGAGAGGTGAAATAACTTAACCAGGGTTACCTAACAGATGGGATTTATACCTAGATCATCTAACCCAACCGCTACTTGATACTCCCATGTCCTGCATAAACTCATTCATAATGGATGGACTTTAAGAGTTAGGCAAAGTAGTTGTTTATGCACTTCCATGTAAAATGGACTGAGTGGGCAATCAAATGGGCATGTAACCTAGAAAGTAAAGACTAGAAAGTCAGAAGTTCAACTTAGCAAACTTGACCATTTCCTAGACTTGCCCACAGTTTAATCCTTGAAAAGCTTTAGGTAAATCACATCATGTTTTCCCATAGGCTTACACTTACGACTTTAGAGATGCTTTCTGCTTATTTTTTGTGTTCTTACAGTTCTCAGTCTGCTAGTACTTTAATCTCAGGTTTCTCAGCCACTTAATTTCTTTAGGATAAATTCTATTCAATAGAGAATTCTATAGCACTTGCTAGGTTCCCAGTCCCGTGATAGATCTTGAGGAAGTGGGGGCAGTAGTGAAGATGATGGCTGGTAATAAAAAATAAGACAGAAGATACAGGTCCTGCCCTTAAGGAGTCCACAGTTTCAATAGGGAGACAATGACGAAGCAGAGAAAGTGTTCTACTAAAGGTCTGCACGATGTGTTATGTGTGTAGACATCTCTCCAGCATAGATCTTTTTAAATGTACAATTTTTAAAGATAACATTCTGTAAAATGAATAACTCCCCATGTATTACTTTTTTCAAATTTTCCGTTTCCCCCTCTAAAAGTAGCATATATCTTCTTGAGAAAGAAAAGCCATAAGAGAAAAAAATCCCTAGCTTATATTAATGATAATAATTATTATTATCTAAGTTTATGATATAATCAAAATCAAATGCCTGAAATAATTTCTCCACTCAGGATAGTTTTATAATTTATCTTTATCTCACCCCAAGAAAGGCAAATTCTGTTTATAATCATAAACATGTGCCTATTTAATACGGGCCAAGACAGAAATAGTACAATTTTTTTTGCCTAATATATTATACAAGAATCAATAGAGAATTGCTTGTTGGAGATTTTAAAAGCATTATGAAAACATTACAAGTTCATTTTCCAATCTTCAGATTCGTGCCCTGTGCTATGTGGTGGGAATGGAGAATACGAGAAAGGACACTGTGTCTGCCGAAATGGCTGGAAGGGGCCAGAGTGCGATGTTCCAGAAGAACAATGCATTGACCCAACGTGCTTTGGTCATGGCACCTGCATCATGGGAGTCTGCATCTGTGTGCCAGGATACAAAGGAGAAATATGCGAGGAAGGTCAGAGCCCCATTTTCATCTACTGCTTTAGGCTTTTCTCCCACTGAATTGTCCAAGGCACCATTCTATGCTTCTAGTAGAGAAATTAGTGGTCTTAGCAACCAATCAGTGCTCAATGTATCTGCTTTGTACATGGAGCAGGGGGTTGAAGTCAGGGGAGTTCATGTCTCTCCTGACAGTCTCTAATGTTAACGTGAGGTCATGTCTGTGACCCTTGCAGAGTAGTAATGAAAAATGGCATATCCCCTTCATTTTAACATTGTTTTATAACTTGAGAATTTCCATATTGATGATTTTAGGTGTTAATTCACATGCTTTCATTATTACAGACTGCAGTAGGCTACATCTTACATTAAAGCACATAATAAAAAATATATGCACATTTGGAACCATTTTATGAATGTTTTCTTTGGGAGTGATTTTTAATTACCATTATTATTGCTTCATATTATTTATTTTTACATAGCTCATGATAAACTTGACCTCCATGCCTAAGGAATCACTAATGAGTTTCAAGGAAGTGCCTTTATATTAAAATTCACCCCAAAGGAGCCTTTACACACAAAAGACATATTTTGAAATGGCAATAGTTTTATCATTTAAAGAGACACATTGGAAAAATAAGTTTACTAGTAGTAATCAGGCCTTTTTCATGCTACATTCCTCAAATAAGAGTGATTTCAGAAATAATATTAAACCATTACCATGGGAGAGGGTCTCATCACAACTATTGTTCAGGAAAGAAGCAGCTGAAAATGCACTATAATTGCTTTTTAAAGATGGCTCATTAAGACTATTACACAGCATTCTAAAGGGTTTAATCTCATTCTGCTCCATGAGCAAGCAAGAGTTTAGCTTTTCACCTCCCATTAGCAGTACTAGAATTTTGGTGTGAAGATTTTATCTGTTCCAATGAATGGCATTGGGACTAGTCTAGGCACCCTAGTGCCTGTGTTACTTTTGGAAATTGTTTGTATGCTATCCAACTGTAATCATGATATTTAAGTTGTAAATTCAGATGCTATATGGTCACACTTACTTACCCCAAAAAATGGTGCTATCACAACATCTACAATTTGCCAAGAAAACTAATCTAATGAATTCAAACTGTTTTATTTAAATTACATAAGCAGTTGAAAAAGGATATAGTGTTCTAGGCGTCACTAAAAATAATTGTAGAATAACCAAGATAGCATGGAATACCATATTTGACACTGTAAACTTCAAACACAATATTAAAAAAATGCTTTAAGTCAGACATCACAGACCAGGAGCCCACAGCCTAACCTGAGCTTATAGATGGGCCTTGTTTGATTCGCATAATGGCGATGGTGTTTTTGTTGTGTAATGTGACATATTTGCCAACATTTAAATAGAGAAGTGTCATATAAAAATCTCTATTTCTAGCCTCTTGTGAACAACACGAAACTCTGATAACCCTGGGCTCACATTCCTACATGGTGGCAATCAACTGGAGCTAAGAAGCAGCAGCTTCCTTTAAACTTCTCTCAGTTCACTCCCAACACACTCCGTTTTCTTACATCCAGCCCATATCATTTATTCCAGTTTGTCCCCTGCCTGGCCCCTTCAGCCATACAACTTTATGCCTCTGATTTAAGCATAACTTACATATTCATTGAAGGTGGCCTTTTAATAAAAGAAATTATATTAAGTTAAATCTTATTTATTCAAAGTATTATATTTTATATAATCAAATGGCCTTCTTCTAAAATGACATTTTATACTTTGGACTTTTCCTTTCCCTCCAAATAATGAAATAATAGAATGAGGTGTACCTTCTGATAGTTATTTGCTGATTAGCTCAGGTATTGAAGCATTGTGCTAATGATCCTGAGATCATGGGCTAATTATAATGGCAATTACACTAAATATATGCTTGTTTAAACTTCCTCTGTTCCAAGGCCACACCACAGCCTAAAACTAAGCCAGTCTTGCAAATGGTAGCAAATTGTATCCGTCCTTTTTCATTGCTGGAGAAGTAATTCAAAGCATACATCTGCATCGTAGTAAATCATTTTGTTTCATCTTATTTGTATGGGAAGACTAAAAGTTGGGAAATCAACTTTCCCATTTTCCATGGTGATTGAATTAAAAGCATAAAACAGTTCTCCCCAAGACAAGCATTGGAATCTACTTCCAATACAGTTTATATATTTGTATGTGTGTGCATATATATATATATATATATATATAGTCTCTAAAAATTATACATGTGTCAAAAAATTTCCAGACTCAGAATCACAGGCAAAAATAATTGAGTCCGTGATATTCTAAAACAGTAGACACTGTCACTGTGTCCTGATAGAAGGAGAAGCCACAAGAAAAGAATTTTTAATATGTTGCATTTTCAATGCTTCAGCAGTCACTTCGTCAATACCTTGAATAATTCAAACTTAAACTATATCAACTTCTCTAGACACATCAAGTAAAAGGCATTTCTGGGAGCTATGATTCCAATTTCAGAAAAGACAAGAAATGACTCACCAAAAATTCTTGAGCGTTTTTTTTCAAAGCGGAGGAATTCCTATCGAAGGCCCTCACTGATCCACTCACCCATTTGTGTGAGAGTGCTACACACTACTAACAATGTCACACAACATGCATGTTTCTTTTTTCTAAATTTAGGATGCAATCTTTATGATATCTAATGATATTTTAAAATGTTAATAATCTATTTTGAACACAGTGTTGACCTGAGTCATAGTATTGCCTGATTAAAACAGCAGAAATGGCATGATATTAGGAAATCAATGTGAATATCTCGGTGTCATATAATGGCCATACCTGTTCATTTTAATCTTTCCTCCTTTCTTGGGCCTTCAGAGGACTGCTTAGACCCAATGTGTTCCAGCCATGGCATCTGTGTGAAAGGAGAATGTCACTGTTCTACTGGTTGGGGTGGAATCAGTTGTGAAACTCCACTTCCTATATGTCAAGAGCAGTGCTCAGGACATGGCACTTTTATTCTGGACACTGGAATGTGCAGCTGTGACCCCAAGTGGACAGGATCGGACTGCTCAACAGGTACATTGGAATTGTCTCCTTCCTCCACTCCCAGGTCTTTGCCTTAAGGTAGTATTCCTTAAAGTCTCATTTGTATGCCTTTCATGCGTTGTAAAGGGCTTCTAGGTGTTTCCTAGGCTAGTATTTTACTGGGTTTTTATATACAGCACTAGAGGTTTGGTGCACAAAATTCATGCACAGGTGGGGTCCCTAGGCCTGGCTGGCGATCAGAGCCCATCAGTTCCCCACCTCCCTGCCTCCTCCTTTCCTTGCCGCCCACTTGCTACCACCACATGGTTCCCCACCTCCCCGCCTCCCCACCTCCCTGCCTCTCCCCCTCCTCCTTCTCTCGCTGCCTGTGTCTACCACCACCCACACCCAGTTCCCCATCCCAGCCCAGGGCTCAGGCCTCATCGGGCAGTCGGGACCTGCCAGCCCAGGGGGAGGGGCCAACTGCCACAGTGGCGGGCGGCCAGCGGGCTGATCAGGGCCTGCTGGCCGGGGATAGGGACGGGGGGAGGGACCCAGGAGGTTGGCCACTGGCCCCAAGGAAGGAGCCGGCCCTTGGCCCCCCTGGGAAAGGGGCTGCATCCACTGCCACCCACCCTCAGTTCCCTGTCCCAGCCCAGGGGCCAGCCCTGATTGGGCAATTGGGGCCTGCTAGCCAGGGGGAAAGACCAGGAGGTTGGCCAGCAGGCCCCATTGGCGATGGGAGCCTGCGGGCTGGGGGCAGCTCCTACATTGAGCATCTGCCCCCTGGTGGTCAGTGCACGTCATAGCAACCGGTCGTTCTGGTTGTTCTGGTCATTCCGTCGTAAGGGTCGCTTAGGCTTTTATATATATAGATACTGCTGGGTTTTTTAATTGTATTTTTCATTGTCATAGGTCTATGCTAGAACCTCTGTCTTCATTCTGTATTCTTCTGCAATTATTTCATCCATTCTCAAGTCTCCCACTATCAGTTCTATGCAGATTATTTCAAATCTCTATTTCCCCAAACTCAAATAATCCTTCATTTCCAACAATCTGCAACATATTTCCACTGGGTATCCCATCACTTAAAAACACAACTTAGCCCAGGAACTCTACTCTATTTATATAGTGCCATATTGTTGCCCAATTACTATTCCCACAACTGTGATTTCGTTTTCATATTCCCTACCATAACATCATCCACAGTTCTCCATTGTCCATAGATAAACTTCAACTATCCTAACCTCTTATTACAAACTATTTCAAATTTCTGTCTCCAGACTATCTTCTACTTCTGCTTTCTGCATAAATCCTTCCATCTGCTAAAGTAATATGTATGTTCACCTTACCTCCAATACATCACACTTTTCTCTGTGCCTTTTCCTCAGCCAGGAATGCTATTACCTTTCTATCTATGAAAATCCAAGCCATCCAACTAGACCAAGTACAATTTTTTATCAATTATTTTTTTACATTGTCAATTACAGTTTACATTCAATATTATTTTGTATTAGCTTTAGGTGTACAGCATAGTGGTTAGACAATCATATACTTTACAGAGTGGTCCCCCTGATTTTTCAAATGTCCAACTGGCCCCATACATAGTTATTACAATATTATAGAGTATATTCCCTACAATGTGAGATATTCTATAAAACATTTCCTGATCAAATCAATAAGATCCTCTGAAACCCTATGATACTCAGTGCTAGAGAGTAAAAAGGGCATCGTGCTGTAGGTATTTGTGTACATGACTTGTTTTTCCACCTAAACTGAAAGGAAGGGATCATTCTTTATAACTTGTCTTCTTATCCTCAGACCATGTGCTCATTAAATGAGTAGAATTACTCAATGATAACTCCTACAAAGCTTGTGCCTATTTTTGTTAAGGATGTAAAATGACATGTGATAAACAGGTGCTATAGGTGCTCTGTGAGACCTTCTGTGCCACTGAATTAGCTCGTGAACCAAAAAGTCTGCAATCCTGTGGTATAAACAGGAGAATACCTCTGTTAAGAGAATTCATTGTAATCTAATACTTCACTGTGCAAAGTTTTGCTGCTTCACGTAGAAATAATATAGGAGAGAAGATTGCATGTTATGATTTTTAGAATCATTAAAATGCTAAAGACAATGTAATAATGACTAAATCGCAAATCTTTAAAAATTATTCCTTTATATACTTAGCAAATATATGTGTGCCTACTATGTGCTAGGTGCTAGAGATATAGTGGTGACCAAGATGGTCATGGTCCTCGCACAAAAGGAACTTATAGTGTAGGGGGAGGCACATTGAGCATGTCAGAGGAGGGTTGCAAGAAGGAAGTGACTGGGCATTATGGGGCTGTATAGTATGGATCTAATCTGATTATTAATTTTATTACTGAATGTTATTGAACACATTCCATTCTTCCATATGTCAGATATAGTTTGGCCTAGAGCTTCAAGTTTAAAACAGTATTATTATTAGAGCACATATTTGCATAGCAGTTATATATTAGGCATTATTCTAAGTGTTGTACATGTAAGTATTCACTTAATCTTCATAACAATCTAAGAGATAAGTACTATAATTATGCCCACTTTACAAATGAAAAAAGTGAAGCACAAAAGGACTTGCCCAAAGTTACCCATATAACAAGTGTCCGAGTTAGAATTTGGACTAAGGTATTCTGGCTTCACATCCTGTGTATTTAATCACTATACTATACTGTCTGGCAAGGAGAGACAGACAGTAAACAATGAACAAGAAATATACAACCTTCTGAAACATAAGGAAACTGAGGGCCTGAGAGGTTAAATAGCTTGTCGAGGGCCATAGACTTGACTAATTGCAACCCTGAAAGTAGTCTCTCAGTCTGTTGATTTTTTTTTAATGTCTAACTTTCTTTTCAGCCCTCCACCCTCATCCCCACCAAAGAAAGAAGGAAGAGTTAGACAGGGAGCTGGGAATACTGTGGATAGATTATTTTACTGAAACAGGAAAGTTCAAGGAGAGAAAGGATATAAAATATCAAGTGCATGAATGACATATTTGTCCAGAGACCCTGGTCTAAAGCCACACTCATCTATTCTGGACCCAATAGAAAAAAGAACACTAAAAGCATCTCTTGCTCAAAGAAGTATAAGGGTGGATAGGTATGAGCCAAAACTCAGCAGCCTCTCAGGCTACTGGATTACTAATAAAAACTACCAACTTGAAAAATAGGGGAAGGAGATGCCTTCCAAATCTCCATTGTCATGGTAGGAATAGTCCTTCTGTGATATTTAAGCTCCTCAAAGGTTGTTCCCACAGAGTATATTTAACCATCGAGATGATCTCACTGTGCAGTCTTTTAATTGAGTGCGCTCAGTACAGGAAGCAATTTAACAGTTGATTCTTATAATGGATCATATCATTTCACAGGTGGATATGCTCTTTGCCATTGATCATTTTCTTCCTCTAAGCGCATGAAGCTTAGCTGTTAGCATGTTAACTGTGCTGCTATGATACCAAGGGGACTACAGTGAATGGTTTACTGATTATTTTCAGTCTGTTTACTAGATACACTGAATATTGTTAGGGGCACTGAATTGATACTTGATATAGTCTTCTTTAACCTGAAGGTCTCATGGTACTTCACAAAGGTTAATTCATTATTCTTTAAAAATATCTCAAGAGGAACACAATAGAAGCTTGTTATAACATGGTTTAGATTTGGATATACCACAGGTCAGATCATGCTCTCTTAAAATGTAACTCCTTGCCCTGAAATCTCAGTAATACATTTAGCTTATACTGAGGATATTGGCAGTAACCTCTAATATCAGCATTGTAAAATGCAGCTACTGTATTTCTTTCATAAAATCTGACTTCTCTTGGTCACAGTCTTTGAGAGGAAACATAAAAGCGGAGTTCAGAGCATTGTACTCCTTTCTTCTTGGTTAAACTTCCTCTCAAATCTACTGTTATTCACAGGTGACTGAGTGAAATTCATAGAAGGTAAGCACTCACATAAAGAGGATAATTCTTGCCCTTATCTACTGTGATCCCCTCTTATTATAGTATATCTTAGAAATGGATTAATCAGTTAGAGAGATATAAAACATTAGGCCTAGGGGTATTTCTGAACTCAGTACAGTGGAACATCAGTTCTCGAACTTCATTAGTTCCGGAAGGCTTTTCAATAAGTGATTTGTTCAAAAACCAAATCAGTTTTTCCTATTAGAAATAATGTAAATGGAATTAATTTCTTCCAAATGTGTCCCTGTTTTAACTTTTCATATATACAGTACATGTCTAATGTACTGTTTAATCTATAAACAAACACTTCTTTTCTTAAATTTATCAAACTACCCCCTACTGGCCTTAAATAAATCACTTTCAGCTTCCTTTCAGGGATGTCTTTCAGGAAGTCAGCATGCCGCATCTTCACTTTTTCACATATCACTGCCTCTGAAATGCTGTCACAAGCTAACTGCTTTTTTGTTTATCCAAATCAACAACAGTTTTTCTACCTCTTCAATTGCCTGTGATCATTGTTTCTTTCACCCTTAACAACATTAGCACTCTCGATCGCCTCTTTATGTTTTAAAATTTTGCTAATCATCTATTTTGCCAGCAACAAAACCAACGAAAAAAACCCACAAAAATATTCACAGCACAATTTCCTGAGATGTTAACAAGCAAGGTTTAGCGGTAAACTGAGTCACATTCTCTCCTTTGTTTGTGGCCTGAGATATGCTTTTTGTCAGGCTGATATATCAGCATGAAAGGTTTGTCAGTTCCAGAACCTAAGTTTGATTCAACATTATTTCCATGAACAACTTGGTTGAGAACCAAATTGCTGGTGATGGGAGAGTTCAAAAACTGAGGTTTGACTGTATTTGCCATGCAACAGAAATCATGAGATACTATCAATTATAGCCCGGTTCTCTAAGCAGGGTTAGTTCCTGAAGCTCCCATAAGGCTTTCTTATAAGGATATTTGTTTTTAGGCCATCCTATGACATGTGGCCATCTTGTTTGTCCATTAGAAAGATGACTCTGTGTGTGTGTGTGTGCATTCA